CGGGAGCCTCTCGGGCAGGACAAACCCGCGAGTGCCGTGCGCGCCGGCCACGCCACCGTGTCATCCGCTGTGTGCCCGCCTGAAACTTTCGGGGTTTAATTCTAATTTGAATTTCCAGTAAATAAGGATAAGGAGGAAAAAAACTGGAGTCGGTATTGAGGGCTGAGATAGGCGGGCTGGTTGTGTGAATCTTGAGTACTAGGAGTGGGGCTGAATCCATCTGCTTCTTGCTTTGGTGTGCCAACTGAAAACAGAATTAAAAGTGAAGACTCAGCTGGGAGCCAGAGCCATATTAGCTTGTGAACTAAAAGGTCAGCAACTGCTCTCTTCACACTATTGTATGTTGTACACATGTGTGTTGTATCATGGAACAGGAAAGAAATCCCACAAGGTGGAAGGAAAGTACCACAACGTGCAGAATATCACAGGGTTACTCTGCTAGTCACAGAATCACAAAATTGTTTGGATTAGAATAGGCATTAAACCTCATCTCATTCCAGCCCCCTGCCAAGGGCAGAGACACGTTCTAGTAGACCAGGTTTCTCCCAGCCCCTGTCCTTGAACACTTCCAGGGATGGGGCATTCCCAATGTCTCTGGGCAACCTGTGCCAATGCCTCTTCAGTCCTGTCACCGTAAAAAAATTCTTCCTTATGTCCAGTCCTTGGTAAAGCCTCTTGGTCACAGTGGCTTGTGTTCATAGCTATCAAATAAGTACATCTGGGGTACACTTAAGATCTGGGTGGTCTTTTTTTGCAGACATGGCAGATGCAGCATTTCATACAGGCAGCCCGGTTCAGAAAATTAGGGCGGCTCTCACTGCTGCCCTAATGTGCTTGGTGCAGGGATGCAGTGTGGTGCTGCAAAGCTGCATCAGTTCAATCTCTAGTGTAGAGCACTAGAGTCAAGTTCAGTTTTTTTGGCTATGTTTTGTTGGGCTTTTTTATTCCTCAGTTAGTGGTTGCTGTTCTTGATCTCCGGAAGACAGTGAGTAGTTGATATAATCATGGTTAAAAAAGAAGCATTTTAGTTATTGGACTAAAACATTCTTCAGTGGAAATGCAGAAATAAAACTTGCTACTTTTTTTTTCAGTAATTGAATGGCACTGGGATTTAGATATTTTGAGTTTTCTCCCTTGCTCTGTATTCCTAGTTAGCAAAGGTAGAATCACAGGATCAATTAAGTTGGAAAAGACCTCTTGAGATCTCATCCAGTCTTTGACCAAACACCACTGTGTCAATAAGACCACGGCAGTAAGTGCTGCATCCAGCCTTTCCTTAACACTGTCAGGGGTGGTGACTGCCACATCTCTTGGCAGTCCATTTAAATGGCTAATCACCCTTTTCTGTGAAGAAATTCTTCCTAAAAGTGACCAGTTAAAAAGTGTATGGTAGACTTACATTAATTTCTTAAAGAATACAGTTTAGATGGGTAGAGATGTGACAGATTTTAAGCATGAGTAGTTCTGTAGCCTCATCTTGATTTTTGTGCTTGTAAACACTTACAGTTCAGAGGAGAGAGAAACTGAGCATTTTGCAAAGGAGGGTTGACAAGCAATTTTTCTAAGCCAGTGTTGACACAGGTAGTATTTCATTCTTAAGCTGTGTGTCAATGTAAATTGTTCAGCTTTTCAGAAAAGCAGATTGTGAAACTGATCTACTGACTCTTCCTTCATTATTTTTCATCTAGCTGTGCCCCTGGTCATGTTCATCTATTAGTTATGGACATTGTTGTATGGTTATGCAGTCAGGGCAAATTTAATTTTAGAAGCTCTGGAGAGGAATGCAGCTTTTCATGTAGTCTGCAAAACTGAATTAGCTTTTGGAAACTTGGTCAGTTTTGATTGATACATAATTGTATTGTTTGTATCTATTGTTCAGATTGAGGGGGCAGAAACAAAAAGACACACACCTTAGAAAAACCCTAAACCTAACCCCACTCAAGAAAAAAAAACACTTGACAAAAAAAAAAAATCCAGAATCTAATGAGCTTTAGAAATTAAGTAGTTGCACAACTTCTTCCTTCAGTACATATGGTGAAATTGGTAAATATTAAGAGGCATCACCTTGTGTAAATTTCTCCAAGAAAACCTCATTTTCATCGTTCAGGACAACATTGATGATTTGGCAGCGTATCAAGAGAATTCCATTTGTAAGTATTTAAATAGTTGGGTTTTGGACAGTGTCGAGGATGTCTTGAGACGCTCTGGTACACATAAGTCAGACTTCAACCTCACATTAAACAGGTTTCAATAGAACATGACTGGTTTTGACCTAAAATTTTGAAGACATTCTGGGATAACGAATGAGATTGTTGGAAATAGTTACCCGAAATATTTTAAGTGAAGCTACGGTTCTAGGGAAAGTTCTTTGACATTTTAATATTCATTATGTTGGTGATCCTTGTTATGGAACTCTTTGATTAAGATATTTCATGGGGTGCTTTTTTAACCTTTTTTTTTTTTTTTTTTAATGCTTTTGGTACTTAGTTAACTTAGCAAGTTTATGCTAATTCTTCTGACACTGTCAGACACCCTGAGGCATTTACACATGACAGTTGAGGAGAAATTGAAGCTAGACTCTTGATGATTCATTCCAGAATACAGTAAACCCTACTCAAAGGGTTTTTTTATGTTAGCTGTTTCAATAGCATTATTGGTTAAACTCAGGTTTGTTTCTTACAATTCCTTTCAGAAGTAGAAAAACTTAACATATTTTAAGACTTAAATGTCGGCCACTGAAATTTAAGTCTAGTTGTATTAAAAAGGGTGCACTGCTAAAGCATCACCTCACTCATGCTCTTCTCAGGTAGTACATAAATATCAGTTTACTGGGGAGTGCAGAAATGGGAGCAGCTAAGATAACCAGTCCTGTTTCTTAAACCAGTAAGCCGTCTTTTCAGCTACTATATTAACCTGTGGAAATATTTTCTTATTAATAATGAAGTTGAAAACTTTACTGTGCTTCAATCTTGAAGACACCTTGGATGCTCTTGTGATTAATAAGTGA